TTTTGACCGTTCTTTGGTTTGATTGATTTGACTAGCAACTTTATACCTTGTCTTTTATAACATATAGTATGATAGGCCTTGGTACTCTTTTAATTCGTACTTTGAAGTCACTAAAGCAACACTAAGGTCGTGAAACGCTAAAACAAACGTATACAATTATAATAACGTTTACGTTTTTTAACTTTGAAAGAATACACTTTGTGCGGTGGTAAATTTCATAACATATACATAAACGAACATCATTACAATAATGCCAAGGTCACCACATACTAAATTGAGTGGGTTTGTCCTTATTTTGTGCTATGTCAGCGTATATGTAAGCGTTTTCATCCAGCTGGCTACCTTCTTTCTTTAACTACAATAACTTTGGTGTAAAAGGGCAATAAACTTAGGCAATGTTTTTAATGTTAAAGTCAAAGGACTGGCTCCAAGGTCAATAAAAAGAAAGTTAAGGTGTAAAACACGTACACAGGCGAATAGAGAAACGTGTTTAGATCTATTGCATCTGATGAAGCATCACGCTCGAATGCAGATGTTTTTATCGCATTTCTGTCTGTCAGTCAATTAACTCTTTCGGGCCCGAGGTGTGCAAAAATAGCATTTGAGATTTATATTTTGTCTGCCCAAGTCAGTGCCCAAGAAACCATTCATTAATACCATAACTCTGGATTAAAATCCACAGTGAACCGAATTTTATAAACACATGCGAGAAAACTTCATACAACTAAGCGTAATGGTTCACCACATTTAACAGGCTTACAATATTTTCTCTTATTGCTTTAGCATTTTACACCGTATCTCTGGATTATTTTTTTCTGCTACAATAAAACAGCGTATTAAAGATATTTTTGGCAGCTGTCGTGTATTCCTAATAATTCACATCTATGACTTTGTGAAGAATAAATATGTTGACTATAATTATCCAGATAATGTAAAAGTAGGGAATTTGTGTACAAAGTACTCTTGGATTACAAATGTTTCAAGAAACAGATCTTTTTTCCACACATTATTTGTTTAATTACTTTTAGACAGGTTCAGCAAGCTCCTAAAGTGAACGATGTGACAAATATCTTTATTTTTAGAGCCAGACTTAAAGCTTAGCTGAAATTAAACATAACATTTATAGCATTCCAAGGCTGAAAATGACTTCTAAAAATATAACCTGAACTAAAATTACAGTTTAAAAATGAGAGACCACCATCCAGTCTCCTGATTGATTATAGTAATAATGCCAATCTAGAACAACCTTTATTTATGTAAATATCTTCCAAGTCGTGCATGTTGTTTAAATAAAACTTCTGTTTCTTCATAAAATGTAAGAAACAGAATATACTTAACTTTGTAAAAATCAAAACAATTGGTCAAACTGTATGTGGAGAAGATTAGACAAACTGTATGTGGAGTAGATTGGTCAAACTGTATGTGGAGAAGATTGGACAAACTGTATGTGGAGAAGATTGGACAAACTGTATGTGGAGTAGATTGGTCAAACTGTATGTGGAGAAGATTGGACAAACTGTATGTGGAGAAGATTGGACAAACTGTATGTGGAGAAGATTAGACAAACTGTATGTGGAGTAGATTGGTCAAACTGTATGTGGAGAAGATTGGACAAACTGTATATGGAGAAGATTGAACAAACTGTATGTGGAGTAGATTGGTCAAACTGTATGTGGAGAAGATTGGACAAACTGTATGTAGAGAAGATTGGACAAACTGTATGTGGAGAAGATTGGTCAAACTGTATGTGGAGAAGATTCGACAAACTGTATGTAGAGAAGATTCGACAAACTGTATGTGGAGTAGATGGAACAAACTGTATGTGGAGAAGATTGAACAAACTGTATGTGGAGAATATTGCTTGTTCTGATGAATCAAAACATAGAACTTTTGAAATCAATAAAAGTCAATGGATTTGAGTGGTGGGTGTAGCCCTTATTTAACCATGGTGAAGGTAACGTCCAAGTATGATACTGTTTAACCACAGCTGAAGTATTGCTGGAGCTCTGGATTCTTCCCAAACATAAGTAAATACTCATTCACTGTACTGTTCCTTTTGGACGTCTTTTAATGTGAGAAATTTCATTTTCTAACATGAGAATGAATCTCAAATATACAACGAACGCAGAAAAACACTATTTTAATAAGAAAGAAGCTGATATAACTTAGTGTGTCTTCCTCCGAGCCCAGATCTCATTATTTTTTTATTGTTAGGGACTATCTTCATTGAGGAAAACGACAGCCGAAATCAAAGGAGTAACTCTGGCCACTACTTTAAGACTCCTAGTATTCTATTTCCATTGAGTTTCTCCAAAGCTTGAAGAAAGCTTCTTCGTCGGTTTCAGGCGGTTAATTCAGCCAAGAGTGGTTACACAAAATAAACTTTACATTTTCTTTGCATGTGTTTGTTTTGCTTTATGAGGTTCTGAAATTCGTACACTTAAAATAACTAGGCATATTTTAAATCTATAAATAAATTTTGATGATTGATTGGTGTCTAATTTATACATAGTACTACAGATAAACACACAAACTTCATTAGTTAAGTGACGTAGCAGGAATAATGACCTTTTTGAAACCTGAGGAACGGTTGCTGGAATTAATGTTAACGTGTGTTATTCAACCATACACCATAATGAATGGTTTAACTGTGAATGAAACTCTTTATCTTATCAAATTGCTAAAATACAAGACAAATAGGTTATTTTCGTAACATATTTATATTATGCAATACCAAATATACAATTTACCTTAGCTCAAGTTATAGTCTACTTTCTAGCCAGAGTTATTTACTATATTTGTCACGGTTTCTGTTTATAAACCCTTGCACTGAAACGTTCCATATTTATTCGTAAGTAAATAACCGACTTGAACATTTCTTGAAAGTATGCTCAACTACAAAGGTCTTTAAATGTTTTTGAGCCTTGAAATCATTTTCCTGAACTCCTCTAATGAAGAGCACATACGAAGTATAAGGGAGATTATCGTTTTAAAATTATCAAGTTTATTCAACGTCCAACTTAGCCAATCAAACCTTACCTTCAATGTGTAAAAATATAATAGTCAACACTACGTCGGAAGTATCTTCTTCTTGTAACACTACGTCGGAAGTTTCTTCTTCTTGTTTCCTATGAGTTTCAAACCTTTAGTCAACACTACGTCGGAAGTATCTTCTTCTTGTAACACTACGTCGGAAGTTTCTTCTTCTTGTTTTCTATGAGTTTCAAACCTTTAGTCAACACTACGTCGGAAGTATCTTCTTCTTGTAACACTACGTCAGGGAAGTTTCTTCTTCTTGTTTCTTATGAGTTTCAAACCTTTAGTCAACACTACGTCAGAAGTATTTTCTTCTTGTAACACTACGTCGGAAGTTTCTTCTTCTTGTTTCCTATGAGTTTCAAACCGTTAGTCAACACTACGTCGGAAGTGTCTTCTTCTTGTTTCTTATGAGTTTCAAACCATTAGTCAACACTACGTCGGAAGTACCTTCTTCTTGTAACACTACGTCAGAAGTATTTTCTTCTTGTAACACTACGTCGGAAGTTTCTTCTTCTTGTTTCCTATGAGTTTCAAACCTTTAGTCAACACTACGTCGGAAGGG